TCATTTGAATGTCAGCTTGTCATTTACGCCCCCCCCCCCCCCCCGTGTACCTTCATGCCTACCATCACGGAATGGTAAGGTCATTCTGATGAGGTTCTCTTGCAAACTGAGAATCATTTTTTTGAATAAGCCATTTTCAAAATCACTTAAGGAAGGAAGCCTTTTAATCAACCTGGTCATCTGGAATTCACCGAAGACAGGCTGATGATGTCCCGGAGCTTAAAAGCAATTCATCGAAAAAGTTGAAGGTTCTGCAGAAGATCTGACGGAGTAGGCCAGTCACTGGAGAAAGACTCACAGTGTCTTAAAGCCAGACATTGTAAAAGAAGAGCTATGTTTTAAAGAAGGGGAGAACTGGAGAGATACCCTCATAGACTCCTCCTTCTGGCGGAACTGTGGCCTCAGTTGTTTCAGAGAACCTTCTTCTGTTCCAATCAAACTTTTTTTGGCACGTGTCTCTCTGAATCATACCCCTGAACAGTAAGAGCAGGGCTTTGACATCCAACTAGGGTTTAGGTACTGTTTTTGTATACCTACATTGGTTAGGTGACATTTTGTTGCAAGTGATAGATAAATTCATTCAAACTGGCTTAAGCACAAAAAGCATTTTTGGTTCAAGTCAATCCAACTGTAAAGACCAGCCAGGGCTCAAACAACAACATGAATCAAAACCTCTCTCTCTCTCTCTCTCTCTCTCTCTCTCCGTTCCTCCCACCCTAAGCTAAGCTCAGCTTTCCTTTGTTTAGCTGGCCAATTACTGCTCCATAGCTAAACAACTCCAAGGTAATTAGAAGTCCTTTCCATCACCAACACAGCACCAGCTACCACCCTGTGACCAAGAGGAAGGGAAAAAAAGCTAACTGGTCAGGCCTGGAACTTAAGGGAGTTTGGACACCCCCACTCGAATAATATGACTGAGAGGGGAGGCCGCTCCCTATAGGAAAGTCACAGAGCTGTTAGCAGTTAGAGGAGAAAATGAGCCTAGTAAAGCCAGCAGAGGAACATTCAGCTGATGAGCATGCCCCCAGCCTCTCCAAAATGCACTCTGTCAAGTACCTGCAAAGATCCTACACATCTTTGTGAGCCTTGATCAAGAGGCACTCCTCCAAGAAGCCCCTCCACCCCACCTCTCAGCCTTCCCTCCTTTTTTCTGAATCCCAGAGGCACACATGTTGGCAGCATGTCTTCTCTCTGCTGGGCCTCCAGGTTTCCAAGGGATGATTTTTGAGGGTTACTCTATCTCATGCTCTTCTTGATATACAGTACCAAAGCCATGTCAGCTAGAACACATCAGAACACACACTGTACACCTAGAAAATAAGCCTCTTTCTAAACAGGAAGATGGATTTCTACTCAAACTAACGGCAGGCTCTCCATCACGCCGAGCTTCTCAGCACAGGTGAGGCCTACCTGGAGCTCTACTGGAGCTCTCTGATGAAGGAGGCATTGGAAGGGACTTATTCACCAGGCGAGCAAATGAGGCAGACTATTTTTAAGATTTTCGTCTTCAACTTAGTCTCATTGAAACAGAGGGTGAGATGAGAGGGGGTTGTTAGAAGGTTTATTGGAAAATCACCTGTAAGAAAGTAAAGAGGATTGGATTGAGAAGAGGAAAGAGCTGACCCCACAGTGAGGCTTCATCTGAGGGTGTGGCCTATGCTTAAAAAAATTCTGGAACTGGGATGCTTCTTCGGAGTTGCTCTAAACTGAGACAAAGAGCGGCCACCTTGCCATTCATTGGCTGTGAGCTGCACCCTGAGAAGGCAAAGCAGTCCCCCACTCCCCAGGGCACCTCCCAGTGGGGTATACAGCCTGTGAGTCAGTGCAGGCAACAGTCCCAGCAACTGGGGATTGATTGATTGGACGTGTGGGTCTTGAAGTGGGAATGTGGGCGGAGTTTGGAACCCGTTACATGTTCCATCTAATCTAAGAAAGTGTGGGGTGCCCCCTTGTTTTTAAGTCTTAATGTGAATTAATTGGCATTCTTCCAACTTATTAATGCCAGATATAAGTGACCATGACCAGTTGCTCAGATCAGAGTTGGGAAAAATAAGAAGATTCATAGAAAAATTGGACTTGATCACTTTCCCTTGAGTCATTTCTATTAAAAACAACTCCTTCCCATAGGATTCAAATTCCTGCTAATGACTCCCCAGCCTTCCTAAGGCTGTACCCCCCGCCTCCTTGAACTGGCAACACATAACCATCAGAATAACTGCGGGGGGCAGGGTTGCTGGGAATTGAACCCAGGGTCTCAGGCATGATAGGCAAGAAAGTGTTTTTCCACTGAGCTGTACCCTCATCCCCTGAACTTTTTAAATACCAGGAGATGTTGAAATAAACCACATTTTGATCACTGTTGGAGCCCTTGCCCAGCCAGAGAGCCCAGGAAGCCCTCTGAGACTCACCTGTGTGGTGCGCCCGTAAATGTTCAACAGCAGGTTGAGGGAAGGGCATTACCAGTAGCATTCACCTATTTCTGTGGTGTAAATACTCCCATTATAGCTAATTTCACACTACTAACGTGACACCCCTCAACACGAAATTAGGAAAACTTGTACACAACCATAACTAGCAAGCCTGGGCAAAATCAGGCTGGGGTTACCTCCAAGATAGATTTCCCAGATGAATCTATTGAAATGCTGGGGTATGAATTTTTGAAGGATGCCCAGATCTATAGCTGAGAGGTATTTAAAAATAGAAACGATTTGCATTGGGTGAAGATAAAGAAATATTTCGAAAGCTAACTTCTCCCAGCACTAGGCACATTTTCAAGCACGACCATAATACTTGATCACTTTCCCTAAAAGAGTCATTTCTATTAAACCTCCTGAAAACATGTGTCTTTGCTAATTGATTGCCCCTAGGCTTCCGTCCTATCTTTGGATGAAGTCGCAGGAACCTATAGAAAGCACTTATTATCTCTGTCAGCTCTCCGCCTCCCACTCTCCTCTCTGAACTTGACTTCTTTCTTCTAATCTTTTATCTCCCTGATTTCCATCCTATGACCTCATACCTATTTCAGCGTTTCTTTACATTGATGCTCAAATTCGACTCTCCATTTGAATCTCGATCACATCATTTCTCCTGGTTCTTTTTGGTCTTTTCTGGCTCCATATTCTGCTATTCTCAGGATCATCAGTGACTTGGGTCTTCATTTATTCATTTAAAGAACTATTAGACAATACCAGTGGATGGCATGGCTCAGCCCAGGACCTGGGTGAAGAGCCTTGGGAAGAAGCAATACAGACGTGCTTTGTGATGTCATTTTCAGAAGGCTGGTATTTGCCATGGAGACAGTCCTTCCAGTCCCCCAACCCCAGTTCTTTTGACTTCCTTGCAATAGGAAATCTTTCTCAGCTCACCTCTCCATGCTGGTCTCACACTCTGCAGGCCTCTGAGCTTAGATTGAAATGTGTGTCTCTGGCCACATGTTTCTTCTGCCTTAATAGAGGAGAAAGGAAGGCTGAGTCACCTCCCCACCTCTCATGATCAGCAGTTCTCAGCACAAGGCCAGGAACATGGTAGGCACCACCAAATTGAATGCCGCCACACTCTTCCGAGTAGGAAAAAAAAGGATTTGATGAGTCCCTTATAATAGAGTGGCCCTATCCAAGGACTGGTTGGCCTGGATAGAAGGAGCACCTGCCAAATACATGTCTGTGGGTGGGGCTCTTCCCCCCAGATGCAGAGCCCTGTGAACAGAAGTAATGCAGGTCCCCCCAGAGAAAGTCCACGTCCATCATCCCCAAAACTGGCTCGCACCCAGCAACAATCAGACAGTGACCTTGGCGCTGGTCCCTTGAATGTCATGGGAAAACTCGTTGCCATCTTTCTTTCCAGACCAGCCAGACATCCCTGCTTGGAGGTATTATCTGAGTTCCTTTCCAAGGGCCAGGAGAACAGCCAGAGTTCCCAAAGGATTTCTCCTTTATTCTATCATCATCGTAAAGCAAAGCCGTTCTTCAACTATCTTTTGTGGGTTGATGTTTGTGTTGGTGGATTTTTCTTCTCATCTCTGTTTATTATGACTTGAACACGGAACATCCAAGAAGCTTGTAATCAAAGCTACAGGCAGTTGCTGGCACACACCCAGCTGCACAGAGCACATGCTAGACTAACCAGAGGAGAAGCTTTGGTCCCCCACTGGGAGGGCTTCAAGAGAGCAATCCAGAGGGACCAGAGAGAGGACACGTAAAAGGTTTCAAACCGATGATGGGGCTGCTTATGTGAAGGCTGCCGACGGGTGGCCTGCAGGCTGGATCCAGCCCTTAGATATGTGTGATTGACTTGTTTGGTGTTTCTCTTTTGATTGAATTTCTTGCCAACATTTAAATATTAAAAGGTTGCACATAAATATCTAGTCTCCACTTTCTCTTCAAAAGTCACATCAGGTGATGCTGCATATATATTTTCTCACGGCAACAATGTTTAAAAAAGGTTGTCTTGTGGTAGCTGGGGCATGAGTTCCTGGCTTCCCTCCTCCTCCTGTGGCCCACTTTACCCATTTGCAATTGCTACATTTTGTAAGTTTGCCAACGTCATCCTGGATCTCAAGCTGAGCTCTTTTTCTGCCCGGGCTCCTGTCCCCTCTTCTCTCCATACATCCACACCTTCCCCCATTGTCCTTTTCGAGATGTCTTCCTTCATCTCTATCCAAGGTCAAAGCAGCCAAGCTATGGGCTTTGCAGTCAGCTAGATCTCTTCCCTGGACACACCTGGTCATTCATCCAGATAGGATGGACAGCAGAAATGACCATCTTCCACAGCCACCCCCTGTCCTACTCCAACAGCTCCTTTGTTCCAGAATAGAATCTAAGAAGCTATTTCTCTTTGACCTCCTGCATTGAGTTAGTTATTCCCCATAGATGTGTTACCGCTCTGCGTCTCCCACTGGCCCACACCTCGACCCGCAGGCCAGTCCTTGTTAGCAGTCATCCAGAACTCCAGGCTTGGCCTCCTAACTGCACTGCCCAGGGTGATTTCTGTTTCTCTCCAAGCACCATCCATGTCACCATGACATAGGTAATCATTCGTAATCTCCCTTGGATCATGAATTTCCAACTTTAGATGATAGAATTCTGATACCCATCAGAATTGGAACTCCTCAGCAGAGTATCCAGGGCTCTGTGTGATGGTTAGCGAGTCATTTTAAGCTTTCTGAAAGCTGAGAAGCCCAGGGTCAGAAAGAGTAGGAGCTACATATCATGGTTGGCTTTAAATTCCAGCTTCATTCCTCAACCTCTCAGTCTTCCTCTACAAAATGGAGATACTTTTGTCTCTAAGTCTAGGACTCCTTACCTCATCTTTTCTTATTAGAATCCTTCCTAATTTAGAGACCCAGATCGAATGTCCTATTATTTTGAAAAGTTCTCCCGGTGAGCCTCCTTCATCATAGCCATCCCTTTTACTGGATCAAAACATGTTTCCCTAGACCAGGAATCACAGGGGTCAGTAAACTCTTCCTGAAAATATTTGCAGCCCTGGGAGCCATGCCATTTCTGCCTGATTACCCAGCTTTGCTGTTGAAACACAAACACAGCCATGAGCGCTATGTAAACAAGCAAGCGGGATGTGTTCCGGATGCAGCTTTATAGACAGTGGAATTTTAATTGCATATAATTTTCACCTGTCGTGAAATGTTATTCTTTTGACTTTTTTTTTTCAACCAGTTTAAAAATGTAAAAACAATTCTGAGTTCATGGGTCCTTCCAAAACAGGCGTCTGTGTGCTAGATTTGACCCCCAGGCCTTAGTTTGTCAACTCCTGTCCCAGTCATTCATTTTCTCCTCCCCTCCTTTCCTTCCTCCTCTTTCCTTCTCTCTCTCCCTTGCCCCCGCCCCTCTCCATCCCCTCCTAGGTTCTGAGTTCCTCACGAATTCATGTCTCCATGCCCCACACTAAGCCTAGAAAAGCCTTCTCTCAGAATTACTGCCCTTGCCTGGTGCGGTGGCGCATGCCTGTAATCCCAGAAGCTTGGGAGGCTGAGACAGGAGGATCTCGAGTTCAAAGTCAGCTTCAGCACCGGAGAGGCACTAAGCAACTTGGTGAGATCCTGTCTCTAAATAAAATACAAAATAGGGCTGGAGATGTGGCTCAGTGGTTGAGTGCCCCTGAGTTCAATCCTTAGTACCCCCCCCCCAAAAAAAAGAACAGAATTACTGCCCTTAAGCCCTCTGCTTTAGGATCCCGCTACCAACTTTTCACGGTGCCCAGGTCTTTCCATTGTTGCCATGGCCTGGATGAATTGATAGGAAGCACAAATGTTAATAGAAAAAAAAAGTATCTTTTCAGTAAATTTTCTGTTCGCAGCAGAAGCAGGAGAGCTTACTGCCAAGAGCTCTGAGCAGCGGAAGGAAGAAAGGCTGCTTCCACTCTTCCGATGACTCAACCTATGAAGATCCCAAAGTCCTGATGCCACATTTCTGAAGTGCTGTCTTGCCCACAACCTGGAAAGCCTTTGTTAGAGATCCTGCTCTCTCCAGCTCTGCCTGCAGCCCTGAATGGGCAAAGACTGTCATCCTATTTTTACAGCTGGGGAATCACTGCTGAGAGAGGTTAAATAACTTTCTCAGAGGCTCAGCACGCCAAGGAGAGAAAGCAGGTTGTCTATGCAATTTTTCCTCTCCTAGGGCTAAAGAGTTAGAAGTTCATCCAAGACTGCAAGCAATTAAGTTGGGCTGCATTTGCTGAGTCCGGGACAGACAGCCTGCTCTTGCCAGGGTGGTGTTTTTATCATAAATTCTTCTCTACCCTGGGGTTGTGTTTGGCATTTTCCTTGGTCTTGAGAACACAGCCATACATACATCCTGTGCCAGCTAAGAGTTTTTGAAAATTAGCAAACCATCAACTGCACCATGATTGCTTTCCCTGGTGCAAATGTTTTGCTTTTTCCTCCCAGTGTTGATCTTGCCTTTTCTGGTGATACCACCAGTCTGTTCTGGAGGAATAACCCCTTCTTCGTGCTCAATCCACGGGTTCATGTGGGGTCCCATCTTTGGGTTTCAAAAGAGATGCATGCAGCAGTCATGGCCAATCAGATCAGTTCATCCCCCTGGCCTGGGGAATCTGTTCCGGAAAGAGCTGTGTGTGACTCGAGGCAGGTCAATGAAGCTGTGCTGTGGTCCCTTAACTAGGAGGATGGAAGACGGGTGTTGTCAGGGGCCACCTGAACAGAGGGCCTTCCTGAGTAAAACTATCACACAGGAGGGCAGAGCTGAAGAGAGGGAGGGCAAGACTCAAGGACATCCCGAGAGTTTCAAGACACAGTCATGCCTCAGGCAAATTCTCTGCCTCTTGAGCTAATACGTCTCCTTGGGGTTCTTCCTGTAGTGAGAGTGGGATTTGAAAGCCTTCTACCACCTCTTTTCCGTAACTCTAGTGCTCTTATTTCCTACCTCCTGCTGGGGTTGACTTGTGGGCCCCAAATTCTCCAGCAATATTTCCAAATCCAGGCTAGACTTCAAGTACTTCCCATTGAAACTCTCCCAAGCCCCTCTTGCCATGGATCCCACAGGGATCTGTCTCCCTCCGAGTTGGCTCACCATGACAGGGTGATCACACGAAGATGAACAGGCATCAGTGGACTCAGGGTGTCTCTTGGAAACAACTAATAGGCTTACTGATGGTTTTGATGACAAAGGCGAGACTGTTTTTTTGAGACCAGTGTTTTTTTTGAGCTTGTCTGGTCCATTGAAACATCTGATTGCACCGTTTCCCCTATTTAAATTACTACAAAATCATATGCATGATACATATTCTATCATAGGCATGACACCTCTGTTCTAGTCTCATTAGCCTATGACAACTTCGCATACTAATTTTTTAACGTATATAAGATGATAATAATGGAAATACTAATGTCTCCCTTTCATCCTTTGTAATAGTATTGAAAATACTAGAAGGATTCCATAATAGTCAATATTAAATAATCCAAGTTACATTATATGCTTAGAACAGTGCCTGGCACACACTAAGTGTCTAATAAATGCTGTTACTCCTGTTCACGTTCCTGTTAGCAGTACTACTTATACTCTTTTTTTCATTCTCACATGATCACAAACAAAAATGTAAACACAGACACTCAATCCCACAGCAGAATTCTATAGAAAGAGATTGTTTCATGAGCAAAACCAGGATCGTGTTGAATTTTTTAACTTGTCTTCAAAATGGGAACCCAATAATCAAAATAAAATCAAGATCCTGAGGCTTTAGAAATACCAGC